ACCTGCCCGGCCCCCACCAGTGTAGACAGAGGTGCCAACACGCGCTTGGGGTCGAGGGCACTGCGGTCAGTGCACACACGCACGCGTGAGACAACACGAGGGGAGCAGGCGCTGCTTTAGGTTGGAAAGGGCGTGCGAGACCCAGATTGGTACGCCCACGGGGACAAAGAACTTGGCGGTGAACACCTGTGCGGGGCCAAGCGACAGCACACCTAAGCCCGCAGGGGTTTCCTTTTTAGTCTTCCCCCTTACCAAGATCCTTGTCCTTCTGGGGGACCCGAGGCCCCCTGCTCCCGAAGACAGCTCTCACGTCGGGGTCCTTTGCCAAGTAGTCCTGGAGGTCAGTAAGGAGGTGCCGCACGTCCTGCAGCAGCTCCGTGGCCGGGTCCCCAGGCCTGTGGGGACTCCCAGACTCTGAGGTGAGGCGTGCTCGGAGGACCCGGTACTGCCTGGCCACGTAGCTGCTCCGCGCCCTGGCCAGAACGCGGACGTGAGCAGTGAGCTCATCCTCGGCGTCTTCCTCTTCATCTCTGTAGTTGTCGTCCTCCTGTTGCTGCTTCTCATCTACTAAACTGGCCAGAGCGGGCTGAGGATGGTGCACTTCCGGGCTAGGCGGGCCTTCCACCCAGGAGATGCGGTGCGGGGCAGGGTTCCTGAAGGCTGGAGGAGGGGAAGGCGGTGGGTGCAGTGGAACAGTTGTCCTCATCCGTCAGGGGTCCATTCCATGCCCGTCGGCTTACCTGGAACGAGGTCCTGAGTCGTCTGGTCCGGGGTCTGCTCCTGCCCCCAGCCTCCATGGGTGTCCAGGTAGAGCTGGTTCACTACAGAAAGCACTATCCCGGAAGTGTCAGCTTGGACCCTGCCAACCTGCAGAGGATCTGGGGGCCGGCAGAAGCCAGAGGGTGTCCCAGGCATCTGAGGGCTAACCCTGGTCTTTTCAGGCTACCAGGAGACCCAGTTCCCAGCTTTCCTCACTCAGTGCCCCCAGCTCCGTCCTTCTTCGGCTGTCTCCTCCCTAAGGACCCAGGAGTCCATTCCCTCCTCTGTCTGACCCCCAGCTCTCTCTGAGCTCCTTCATACCCAGTAGTTAGGTCCCTCGCCTCCAGTCTCATTGCCAGGCCATAGGGAGCTTTCCTTCAAGAACCCTGTCTCACCTGTTTGTCTGTCTCCGGACGCTACAAGGGAAGGGGGGAGGACCAGTGTCCTGGGAAGAATGTCCCTGAGAAGACAGAAGGGAGCTTGAACTGGGGATGGGAATCGGGGCAGGGTCCTCCTCATCCCTGTGGATGGGTGGCCCGTACCTGCTGGCTGAGAGGAAGGCCAGAAGTTGGAGCAGGTCTGGCACACAGAGGTTGGAGGATTCCAAGGACACACCTAGGCGAGGAAGCAAGGAGGGATGAGAAAGAAAACGGGTGTCAGCCTTCTCCCCCATGGGGCTCTCTCTTCCCGCCTCTCTGAAATCCCTCACAGGGATCTCTGCACCACACACATTTCCATCCCCATGGAGTCCTCGTGTCTTCCTTATCTTGATTCTTGGTTCCAACTTATGCCACCAAATAGGATTTATTCATTAGACATTTACTTAGGCACTGGGGATTGAACCTAGGGCCTTCACACTGAGTTAGATCCCTAGCCTTTTTTTTTTTTTTTTTTTTTTTTTTT